GAACAAATAATAATTTTTTTCATAAATTTAGTTTGATTCAATTCAAACTAATTTTAGAATAAACCAACTTGAACTTTATAACCTGACCGAATCTGAATGCCTTGTAGTTTGTATGATTAGGTTTTTGAGTCATTAAGTTTTTTTACACCCCAAATATTAGGTTTTCTGAAACTTTAATGGATGACATTGGTTGGTCAGGAGCTCATTCATTCATGTCAATGCCTAAAAACACTATTGACATTTTTCCATCATAGAATTAGTTGAATGCTTGAAAACATCTGTTTTCATCATAGGTTTATTTTAACACTTCCCTTTGGGCATCAGTGACTTAAAAGTTATTTTTTTTGCTATTATCCTCTATCTCTAATCCTTTTAAGTTGGATGCCTTATTTGTATAGCTTGTTTGGTTGAGGGCATTTCATTCTGCTGTTTTTTTTTTAATGACCTTGTCTATTCTTTCACTTTTTCTAATGAAAGCATGTTTTCTTTATTAAAAAGAATGAAAAGCTGAGATTTGTTGCCATTTTATTTGTGGTATATGAAGAGTGTCTCTCAGTTTTTCTGCATCGATTTTGGTATATGTTATTTTGTTGGTTGATGAAATTTATATCCATTTTCTCAGATACTTTAAGGGTCCTGAATTGTTGGTCGATTTGCAAGATTATGATTATTCTTTGGACATGTGGAGCCTTGGTTGCATGTTTGCTGGAATGGTGAGCAATTTCTATTTCTAAAGATTTTGAACTTAGTATACCATGAACCTATGCAAACCATAATTTGTGCTTGAGCAAGTGTTTCCATGTTTGTTCTACTGTAGATTTTTCGCAAGGAACCTTTCTTTTATGGCCATGACAATCATGACCAGCTTTTAAAAATTGCAAAGGTAATGATTCAAAGTTGGTGAAAATGACATTTTTTCTCTCTTGTACTTGGTCTTTAATTGTAAACAGAATCTGAATAAAGAATATAACTATTGGTTCTGGATGCAATTTCAGGTTCTTGGGACAGATGAATTGAATGCATATTTGAACAAGTATCATCTAGAGCTTGATCCTCAACTTGATGCACTTGTTGGGAGGTGTGTGTAAAATTTGATATGATCTTGTGGAGAAGGAATCAGTTCTGTGAATTCTAAAAAACAGACGCTTCTAATTTAGAAGAGAGAAGCTGTTATTCCAAGATACGATATTTTTCTTGTAGAATATGTTTTATTGCATAAGGTATTAAACTTTTGGGCATTCAAGAGTTGGATGCTTTTAAGTTTTAAACTTACCAGTCAACTTCTTGGTGGAAGCTTGCCTACCAAAGTGATATTAGTATTCATGAGTTTTTTAGAGTGGAACATTGTTCAGTTGGGATGCTTCATTCCAAGTGTATATTTATTTACTTGGTCACCTATGCTTATTTTTAAAAATAGAAGTGGAGGTTTATATTACTAAATCTATTTACATATACTTCTGCAGGCACAGCAGGAGGCCGTGGTCTAAATTTATCAATGCAGACAATCAACATCTTGTTTCTCCCGAGGTAATCTATCTCTTGGTTATTTGNAAATAAAATGTTATTTTTATTATTTTTTTAAGACAAATTTTAAAATTTTAAGAGTATTTTTACTAATTTATAATCTAATTTCAAAGTACGAAGAATTTAAATAATTAATTATGTACAATGTTAATTTCGTCAATTTCGTGGATATATTCATAAATTTGAAATTTCACATAATACCAAAATTAATGTTCTAGAAGAAGAGAACAATAAATGGTAGAAGGTAGGTAATGAGGGTTGGTCGAGGGAATTAATTACTCCTCTCTTTAATTTAATGCAAAGCCCCCACACCATTTTGACCCTTCTCGAGGACACAACTTTGTCGTAAATTTATGTCCGTTTTAGTCTGTTAAGACTGACGAAGATGAACAATATCTACTAACGATGAGTTTTAACTATTATAAATGATATCATAATCAGATACTAGATGATGTGCCAATGAAAACACTGAACTCTCAAGAGTAAATTGTGAGATCTCACATCGATTAGAGATAAACAATATCTACTAGTGATGAGTTTTAACTATTACAAATGATATCACAGTCAGATACTAGATAGTGTGCCAATAAAAATGATGAACTCTCGGTGATAAATTGTGAGATCCCACATCGGTTCGAGAGGGAAACAAAAACATTTCTTAAAAAAGCGTAAAAATCTCCCCCTAATATACACGTTTTAAAACCATAAACCTGATGGCGTATGTATCCACCAGTTTGTCTTTTTTTTTTTTTTTTTTTTTTTTTTAACAAGAACAAAATTTTTCATTTAATGAATAAAAAAAGACTTACTCAAGGGATGCAAATTCCGAAAGGAGTCAAATTAACTACAAACAAAGTTACAAAGGATAACAAAAATATTCCAATTTAAATTAATATCCTCTAAAGAAAAACCATCAATAGAATTGGAGAGAAAACACTGAACGGGGGGGTATGAGACGAGCTTACTCAAACTGATCTGGCCAAGAACAATGTCTATCTTAAAGAAATCTCTGGGTTCTTTCCAACCATAGTTCTGAATTCAAAGCCTTTCTCATTATGTAATGTCTCTGACATAGAACTTGTTGTCATTTCTATATAAAATGAACGAGTATTTCCAGGAGAGGAGGATAAGAAAGGCTTTAGCTGGAATGAAATATTCAGCATTTTTCTAACGAGTTGTGACTTTTCAAATGCAGGCCATTGATTTTCTTGATAAGCTTCTTCGATATGATCACCAGGACCGGCTTACGGCAAGAGAAGCTATGGTATTTTAACTCGTTTAAATTTTGCCCCATCACATTTGCTAATTAAGAGCTCATTGATCATATTTCCTTGCTTCTATCTAATGCCTGGCTGAAACCTTTGATTTATCGGGTTTAGGCAAGAGAGCTGTAAGAGTTATTCGTATGAAAGTTACTTAGTGAAAGGTTTAATACTTATTGCTCCTTTTAGAACTTTTGCTTCTTTTCCTCCCAAGCCATTGTAACTTCCAAAATAATAAGGTTACCTTACCGTATACATACTTTTATGTGGATCCTTTTCCGGACTCAACCAAGTTTTCATTCCAAACTAGAGTAAAAATGTATTTTGCTGATTGATTTTGGGAGATCTCCATTGATTTCTAGGTTTAATTCAATATTCTAATTCTTCATACATATTTATTGTTCACTAGACTCGAGGGTAGACATTTTATTAATTACCGTAGCATATTCAGTGATGTTAACAGTTTGCTGGTCTGTATACCTGTTGCAGGCTCATCCATATTTCTCCCAAGTCCGGGCTGCTGAAAATAGCAGGATGCGTACACAGTAGAAATACATTATCCCCGGAGTATTTTCATAATCTAAATAGTGATATGGAGTATGGGATGTTTTAAATATCAGTGTTACTAAAGAAATATGAGCTGCCCTGTTGTATTATAGTTTAAGAAACTTAACCTAAAAAGGACTTCCATATTATTTTTGAAGTCGCTTTTCTTGTTGTGGAGAAACTATATATTACGTGCAAATTCTGAAGCATGTCTTCCAAACTCTTACCAAATTCTTCATTACTCGTCTTTTCAAGATCTTTCAGCGTTCTAATAACTTTATACTGTGTGTTTAATTAAGCTGTCTAATTGCTCTTTCACCTTCCAATTTTGCAATTATAAATATTTTTGATTTAGGGTCTTGTTAATTAGAAAAATTATATTTGAAAATAAGTAATAAATATTTTCCATTTAGGTTCAAATTATTATTATTTTTTTTTTTATAAGAATCGAGCTTGGCTTGCCCGTGTCTCGTCCTCTTCCTTGGAAATAAATCTCTCCCACTAAATTTCCTTTTAATTATTGTTTGACTTGCGGCATTAAAGAACAGAGATAGAGATAGACATGGAGTGAATGCATTGAATTTGTTGTCTTTAGGTTGGCTGTCGTATTTTTATAGTTTAATTATAATTTGGGGTGTGCTGCTGCTTCTTCTCAAACCCAAAAAATGAAAACTTGTACGAAACATCAAAATTAATTTGAATATTAGATATTTTGGATTTCGTTATACAGAAAATATAAATTAAAAAAATTAGTATTATTATTTATAAGAATTGAAGCAAATGTTTAAGCTTATGATTCGTGTTGATGAAACTCAAGATGAAAGGAACAAGTCAAATTCCTTTTTTTTTTTTAATTTTTTTTTTTATACTTTTTTCTCAAATTAAACATTTTCTTTCACATTAATTCATTCCATTTTTTTTAGAGTACAACTTTTTTCTTCTTTCTTTTTGCACTATGAAGTAATTCCAGAAACTCGGTTTTGTATGATTTTTAGTAATTACCAACTTAACTTAAAGGTTAAGGTAGATTGCCTATATAATACCATTATAATTTTTTAAATTGTTTATTTTTGAAAATATGAGTAATTATTTATCTGTTTGTCAAATGGACATCTCCAGATTTATTTGACATTTTTTTTACTTCAAACCAAATAAAAACAATTATCAATTTAGAAGTAAAAAAACACTTTTGGTCTCTAAATTTTTATGTAATTAAAGATTTAGTATGTGTAGTTTACTAATTATAACAACTTTAACCCTTTTTGTGTATAATATTATGAAACTTTAATTAAAAAAAATTATATGTATAGAAGGATGAATTTATTACTGATTAAATTTGTTTATAAACTATAAAAATTAAGTCATTGTCAGTGAGAATTGGTATTTATCGTCCTACAATTGTTATGAATTTGAAGCTAGAGGACTAAATTGTATGTATCAAATATCATGAAATAGGTTATAACAAATTTAGAAGTAGATTGAGTTTGATATGAATAGTATTTTTAACTCAATTAAAAAAAAAAATTAGAATATAAAATTTGAAAACAGAAAAAGAAAGATAACAAAAAAATCATATATCATGTAGCCTATACAACTTTTTTTTTTTGTTTATTTTGTGACCAAATTTGTAAGGAATTCGAAATATAAGTTTTGTACGAATCTATAATATTTGATTGATTTGGATTCATGTCCCTAATAAAACACCAGCGGCGTACATGATTGTGAACTCGACGTGTTTGGCAATGATTTCAGAAGGCAGCATCAGGTAACACGGAGGGGTGTGATCTGGATCGTCGTTCTCAGTTGGTGCAAGGGTTCCATTACAACACCTTGCTTTTGAGACGATTGCCAACATCATGGGCCCGACACCTAATAGCTGCCTCTGATGCTGATGCGGACTCGAATATACTTTGCTCAGTTCTTCCAAAATTCCCTTCCTTCTTTTGTTCCTCAACTCTTATCTTCATCTTGATTTCCTTCTCTTTCTCACTGTCTAATCTCATTTTCCACCGCCGCTGCTAATTCCGCCGTTCTTCTTTCGGGTTCATCCATCACTTTCTGTTGAGTTATGGAGTTTTTTCTTGAACTTGCGCTAACCATTAGTCTTCCTCTTCTTATTTCCTTTGTTGTCAGTAAGTTTCTTTCCAGGGCCTCAACCGACGAAGAATTGGCTCCGTTTGGCTTTGACTTCGGATTTCGATCACGAATTCGTAATCTAGAGAGTGATAAACCTAGCGTTGTTGTTGAAGATTTTGTCGGTGCGGATGAGCCCGCAGAATGCGAATTGAAACAGGGCAATTTCACCGGGATCCTTGAATCGAGAGATGAAACTGAGAGTAAATGCGAATGTGCTGTGATTGCCTCTTTGAGGATTGTTGAAGATAGATTAGGGAGTGACTCCGATAATAGTGGTGGTGATTGCGGCGGTGAGGTTGCAGGAAAGGTGATCGATGAAAGTTCTGTTAGGACCAGGTGTGATGAAACTGGAATCGGTCCGGATGAGGAAGACGTATGCGAGGACGATGGAGTTGAGGCGTTTGAGAATGATCGGAGCAAGGAATCCGGTGGAGTAAGCGAGGAAGGATCGGCAGAGGAGATTGCCGTCGAGGATGACGATTGGGAGGGAATTGAAAGAACTGAATTGGAGAAGTTATTTGAAACCGCAGTAGAGTTTGTGAAGATTCGTGATATCGAGGATCCCAAATTTGGCGGTGAATTGAAGATGCGGCTGAACGGGCTTCACAAGATAGCCATGGAGGGGCCTTGCAGAGAACCACCGCCAATGGCTTTGAAGATCTCTGCTCGAGCCAAATGGTAAAGTGGACTCCTCTTTTCTCTCTCTTTTTTGTTCGATTCAATTTTTCTTCTGCTGTCATGATCCTCCTGCAACTCAATTGTTGTGTTCTGTTTTCTGGGATTTTTTCGGGAAAAGAAGATTTGAATCTCACAAAACTGTTAACCACAATGTCCAAGGTCAAGAATGTGTATCAAATTTCGGGAAATTCAAGACTAATGGGAAGTTTATCTTTATTATAATGCACATTGCAACTCCAGGATTCTCTTCTGTCTAATAGTTATATCATGGAGAAGTGGCCAATGGGTAGAAAACAAATCTTCCAAAATAACCGCCATGTTTGAAGATTTCTAGGTCACAATTTATGCCCAAGAATTTGGATCAACTATTGACTTCACTGTTGTTGAGTTGATTGTTTTCATGCTTGCAATTCGTGAGTAGAAGTTGATTTAGAGATTGAGATAAAAATGGAAGGGTCAAGTTTCATGAATCGAGTACTATCTTCATTTAGATTAATAAATCAAGATTTGATCTAGTCTTAACTGTTTTAAGAATAAACTGAAAACGTTCAATTGATGTAAAGTATCAGTAGTTTCCACTTTTAGGTATAATTTTGATACAATGGATGGTTTATATGTGTGAAACTTGACATCTTAGGCTTTTGTTAGCTCTGTTAAATTGGATACAATGTTTTCAAGGAATGCATGGAAGCAGCTGGGGAACATGACCCCTGAGGTAGCAATGGAGAGCTATATAAACCTTGTTTCCAAGAACATTCCTGGTTGGAAGCCCAAAATTCCTCCTGTAAGTATTTGGTTCCAGGGTGATGATACCAAACAAGTAGACTAGAAAACAAACGGGACTTACTGGTTGGACAATTCAAATTCGGGTTCTTTTTCCCTTTTGATTGCAGGTAAATAGTGATCAAAATGCTTCTCGTTCTCATGAATATGAAAAATTAGGTTCCGAAGCGATTCAACTTTAATGAAGGGGGAAATAGCTCAATCTTGTAACGTGCTTTTCGATTATCGATTTTCTTCTGGAACTGCTACTTCATGAAATCTGAATAACTAAAGCCTTGTTTCAACTGCAGGGGATGAAGCTCATCAATGATGTGTGGAGGCTCTATGGTGTCAAAATTCAGTTTGTATAATTTTCCCCCAAGCTTTGGTTTTGTTTGGTTCTTTCTTGGCCATTTAGCCATTTCATACGGTTTGCATACTAGAGAACCTGTAGCGTAATTTATTTTTATCCATGACAATCCTAGCGTTCTTTGTAAATAGCAATTTGAAGTTATTTTCCCCTGTAAATTCAAAATAATTCCTCCACTGCAAGTCTGGATTGACATGTGAAAATAAATTGGACCGTTTGATTGGCAAGGGAGTAGTTGATAAATGGTACAAACTCAACTGTAATTTGTGTTTCCTTTTGAAAAAAAGACTACATCGACTACTACTAATTGGAGCTACTAATTGGATTGAGACGGATTCTAAAGAGCTCAAGACCGATTCTAAAGAGTTCAAGCCCATAGTTAATAGATATGGTTCTCTCTTTTCTTTTCTTTATAGAATTGCTTTTAATGTTTTAAAATGCAGAAAGAAGTTTTCATATTTGAAAATAGGTTTCCACACTATTGAATGTTTTCATTCCCTCTTTTGACCATGGTAAAATCTAGGAAAATATATGTACACACAAACAAGCATATCGTTGTAGTTAATTAACTATTTATCTGTCCAAATTGCCACATCATCATAGCCTTACAACCTCAACATTCTATTAGGCAATTGAATCATTTTCAAAACCTAAAAAATGTAGGGTTCATTTTGAAATTTCAGGAATTAAATGATATCAAACTCAAATATTGGGTGACCAAAAGGTGTATTTTTGCAAAAAAAAAAAAAAAAAAA